TGCGCCTCCGCCGCCCCGCCCCCCTGCGCGCGCCTCCGCCGCCGTCGGCCTCCCGCCGCGCGCCGTCCGCCAGAGCTGTCCCGAGCGGCCGGTCCCCGGCGGGCCCGCGCGGCGCCTGCCCGCGCCGCGCAGGCGGCGCGCCGTGTTCGGCGGCAGCAGGCAGCCGCCGCGCCGCGGCGCCCCTGGGCAGCACGGCTGTGCGCCAGGCCTCGGCGCTGCCGCGCTGGAGGGCGGCAGAGAGGCTCTGCCGCGCGGCCGCCAAGGCCTGCGGGGTCTCGGGTAGGCCAGGTGCGCAGCAGGGCCTGCTCCTCCTCCTCCTCCTCCTCTTCCTCCTCCTCCTCCTCCTCCTGTTCCGATTCCGAGTCCTCTTCCGATGCCCATTCCCATTCCGATTCAGATCCCAATGTATATTTCTATTTCTATTCCGATTCCTATCCCTGTTCCTATTCCGATTCCTGATCCTATTCCTATCTCTTCTCTTCTCCTCCGCCTCATCCTCCTCCTTCTCCTCCTCCTCCTCCTCCTCCTCCTCCTCCTCCTCCTTCCTCCTGCCCCTCGACGAGGACGAAGGCCCCGACCTGTCCTGCGGCGCGTGCTGACCAGGCTTTGGAGGCGCGTCGGACCGTGGCGACCCCTGGGCCAGGTTTCCCCCCAAAGGCTCTCCGCCTCCTCTCCGATCCTCGGTCCTCGGTCCTCGATCCTCGGTCCTCGGTCCTCGATCCTCGGGCCCAAGTTCGCCTCCTCTTCGATCCTCGGTCCTCGGTCCTCGGTCCTCCATCCGCGATCCTCGGTCCTCGATCCTCGGTCCTCGGTCTTCGAGCCTCGAGCCGCGGTCCAAAACCGAGCAGGACGACCCAACAACGGCAGCCGCGACGACGACGGACGCCTCCCTGAGACAAAATGGCGGGAGAGGGCGGCAGACCGTCATCGCTTGGCCTGCCCGTTCCCCCCCGGTGTACGCCAGCCTGCACTCTCTCATTGAGTCCGTGGCGCCACCAGGGGGCAGGGGGGGGGGGGGGGGGGGGGGGGCGAAACGGGGGGGAGGAGACGAGGGAGGCGAGGCGAAGGGGGCAAGCTGGGTGCGATCACGCCATGGCTGTCATCCTGCCTCTCCAACCTCCCGCCCGTCCCCTGCCGATGCGCCGGTGTGCTTTCTCTACCCGCAGCCGGGTGTCATAGCGGGACTGGAGTTTTGGCAAGGTCGTCATCGCGTTCTGCACGATCAGAAATGAGGATACGTGCTCCGTGGAGGAGGAGGAGGAGGAGGAGAAGGAGGAGGAGGAGGAGGGGGAGAAGGAGGCGGAGGGGTAGGGGGCGGAGGAGGGGGAGGAGGAAGGGGGCTCGAGGCAAAGGACGAGAGGAGGGGAGGAGGGGAGGGGAAGTAACGGTGGTGGACTGGGTAGGCGCTGATGGAGGCCGCGGACACGGCACCTGTCGCGAAGCTTGCCGCCACTCAGGGGTGGCTGGATTTGGCGGAAACTGACGCTCAAGGATAGCTGGGTGAGAAGGGAGGGATGCAGAGGAGGGATGGGGGGAGGGTGAAAGGATTGGGGATACTCGAGGATCGAGGTTCGACGATGCATGCGAGTGTGTGTGTGTGTGTGTGCGCGCGCGTGCATGTTGTGCGTGTGTTGTGTTGTGCGTGCATGTGTCTCGCCCGTAGCTCGGATTCGGCCCGCCTCCCCCTGGGGGGGCCAAGAGGGAATGCGGCACACAGCTCCGCCATCAGTGCCCGGTCTGAGCGACCCGCCGCTCGTGAGGGGCAACGACCGGGTGGCGAACTGCCTCACGGGGGGGAAATCTTGCCTTCAACTCGGCGGTGCATCGCCGAGAGATGGGCGATGCGCCCTCGACAGCGAAACCGCGGGCTCCTGGGCGGGGGGGGGCACACGCGGGCCCCGATGGGCGATACGTGGGCGGCCTGGGGCCGATGCTGCCCCCCCTACCCCGGGCCAGCCCCAACCCCTCCGTCAAGAGGAGCAGCAATCTGCATACGCATGACATTTCGGAGATGCCCATGGGTTTTTGTTGGATCCGCGATGGGCCCAACTCACTGGCGCGCAGAAGGCGGCGCCGAAAGCGCCGCCAGGGGGGGCTCAACACCGATCCAAGAAACCCGCTCGGAGATCCGCAAGTCGGATCTTGGCGCCCGCACGCTGCCGAGTGCAACGGCCTGCGCCTTGCATGGGCTCGCCCTCCGGCGCACAGGCCTGACCATCACCTGAAGGAGGAGGAGGAGGAGGGAAAACAAGAGGAGACGGAGGAGGAGGACGAGGAGGACGAGGAGGAGGAGCGGAGGAGGGACGAGGAGGAGGGAGGGAGGGATGGATGCGAGGCAGGAGGACGAGAAGGAGGAGGAAGGAGAGGAGGAGGAGGAGGAGGAGGAGGAGGAGGAGGAGAGGAGGAGTGAGGAAGGAGGAGGAGAGGAGGGAGGGAGGAGGAGGAGGAGGGAGGAGGAGGAGGAGGAGGGGGAGGAGGAGGAGGGGGAGGGGGAGGCGGA